CCAGAGATAAATTCAGCTGCTAAACAATGCATGCAGTGTCACGGTTTGTAGAGATGAAGGACTAAAGTGGCAACAGGACAGCGGCAGGAGCATCTTTAATGGATATATTTTGATAAACCGAACAGAAACAAAGACACTCAGGAAGCTGACAGAGGAATTCACAAGGATGCAACAGAATAAACAGGCTTAAATAAAACGGAAATAAGGTGAGTCAAAATAAGTAAAACACAAAAGGGTGGGCATCATGACATACAGAGCGTTAAAAACTAACCAAAATACTCTGAAACAATATGTTAGAGGACAGATGCTAATGTAAATATACTGCCATGGTGATCATGTAAGGGTCTAGCTGTAACAGAGACTAGAAACTCACTTGAGTCTGCATTTATTTACTCACTAAAACAAGTAAACATACCAAACACCTTTTATTTATTTCCCTTTCTACCAAGTGCCACATGTTACACAGCTGCACGGCACCTGAAGCTTCTGACAACCAAACACACTAGAAATATAAGGACAGGCTGTCAAAAGGATCTCATCTAATTTATTTTTTATTTTTTGCTGAAATAAAAAAAAGCAAAATGTTTCTCCAACCGATCAGAGGGATGTACAATAGGCTTCAGGGTATACATACAATGAGAGCAGCCCCGGCAGGCCTATAGTGTCTATCAGCTTTAGATGACATGTTTCGATAGCGGGGCTGATTTAGGCCTCAGTTACCACGAGATGACTCCAGTCTCCATCCAATCAAGACATTTGGAGGGACACCTGCGGACAGAGGTACACAGTCTACAAGAGAATGATGAGCAGCCCCCCTGCCACACAAAGCTACATTACATCTAGGTTTTTGTACCTCAATACAATTTGCACCACAGACCACAAAACCATCTCTGATGTCTCTCTTTGAATCGGTCCGAGTAACATGGGGAACATTCACTTCAGCAAATGTTCAGTGAGATGTGATACTTAAAAAAGGTAAGATTGCTTTATGTAGTTTATTTCGAGTTATTCCTTAGAGATAGGTCAAGTAAAGTGAAAATTTGAGTTTTTTTCCCCCCAATTTCTTTCTGTATTCTCCATCCAGTCTTGATTCAGGAATAGTGTGGCATTGAAACTGTTCTACAAACTTGTAGGTTTCAGGTACACTGAAAAAATGTATAATTTTCTCTACTTAAGCAAATTTAGATATTTAGTTACTTTAACACAATTGTTTCCTGTAAGCAGGGCAGCACATGAAACATTTATAACCAAGTAAAGTTATAGTGGAGGATGTTCTTTTTCCTGGTGGATCATCAAAATAAGTGGTCCTCCTAATTGTCAATCATTCTGGTGATACGTGTTCATCCCCATTTTCACTTACCGGTGGTGAGTCTGACATAACGGAAAAATTGCAAATCTTCTTTTGGAAAGTAAGCTTGTATGAGTGATGCAAACAGCAACTTTTTAACAGAGCGTGCACGAGGAGAAATGGGATTGTGCATGCTCTCACGTGTTTAATAGGCATTCCCTCTAGGAGCGGGTACCGGGTTGTGCATGTGCATTTCTTTTTTTATTAAGTGGAGAGGACGGGTCTTTTCAAAAATTTGCCAAAATCCTCCACTGTACCTTTAAGTAGATTTTTTTGTGTAAAAACCGATAATCATTTGGTAATTATTTCATCTAAACTGATAAAAAATAAAGCAAAATCAAGTTCATGTGAAAACAGAAATGATTTGTATGATGCTGCCACTAAGTCTCACTGTAGCATGATGTTTTCATACCAACATTCTATTTCAAATTGTGGCCTAAGACTTAAAATTTGGTTTCATTTGACCATAATACATTGTCAAAGTTTTAGCGAGGTCCTGATAATGATGTTTTATTTCTTTTAAATTAAACACCCTTATCATTCACATCCAGATCACCTGTAATGAAGTGTGGAACAGAATAAGTCTGTGCTCTAAATCCTGCAGCTTCTCTAGTGTAGATGTTGGTCTCTAGACAAGCCTCCATGAGAACTTTCTACATTTTAGTTTTTATCACTGCTATCAAAGTTTGAGACTTTATACAGTTCTGAGAAACCTTGTTTAACTTTCTCCGGATAGATGCCTTTGGATATTGACATCAATGTTATCCTTGGCAATTAGTTTACAAACCATGGCCTTAGCTAGAGGATTCAAATGTTAAAATGTCAGGAAAAAAAACATTTACTTAGGTTGGTATGAGCTCAGACTGAAAGCTGAAAAACTGAATTATAATCTGTTTACAATCTATTGTAGGTATTTTCTATTTTTCCACATACTGCCAAAGAAATTTGAAGGTTTTTCTGTTGACTTGTTGAGGATAAATGTCTCACTGCAGCTAAAAACATCTTAAATTAGTTTTTTCCCCATTTTATAAAAACATGGCATTTTAAGGGAATGTAGACTTTTAAGTAAGAAGCTGCAAACTATAAACAAGGAACCACAGTTGGGTTATTAATATTGCCTGTTAGTGACCAAGAATCTGGCTAGTCTCCCAATCAACAATGATGTTAGTCTATAACAATTTAAAGAAAACAAAAAGCAAAACTTATTTTATCTCGGTGCCTGCTATGAACACCACCGTACACTGGACTCTGTCCTCTGTTTAGCAGGAGGGGTGACTGAGACACCAAAGGGAAGCCAGAGAGACATGATCTTTTTCCGCATATGGTCAAAAATATCAACTTTTGGGGGGAAAAAAAGAAATAAGCTGCACAAAGCTAAATGCACTTAACGCTGAGCATACCCTGAAACATCATGGTGACAGCATCATGATTGGGGGGAGGGCAAAAAGCAAACATTCCCCAAAACCAGCAGTGAAAAGTGGATTGACAAAGTGTTGAATCAGAGGAACTGAAGTTCAATGCACACCTTATTTTTCATATTTTTATTTTTGAACTAAGATCAAAATAAATAATACTGATTCCACTTTAAAATAATGTATCATCTTCAAATATGGAGGCCCATTACATAAAATCTCACCGAAATTAAGTTTTTGGTTGCTCAAATATCATGTTCTTTGAGTGTTTGGCATCTTTTTTTAACTAAGAAAGTATCTCGTATTGTCAAGGACATCGAAGAAAGAGAGTTCTGAGGAAGAACATCACAGTAACATTTGAGCCATTTCTCTGTAGTTTTGTTGGATTCTCAGAGAAAGTGCCTAAATCTACCTGTGGGCATCACTTCACTGCTCTCTGCTTTGAGGCTGGGCGGGTGAAAACTGGGCTTTCTATAAGAAGAAGGCTTTCCCCAAGGCAAGCCCAGGGCAGAAGAGCTGGCCATCAAACAAAGCATACTCCAAACAGAGTAGAAAACACGCCATCAGGTTTTCTCCCAGAGGGTTGGGCCCCATTACCGTGGGGGCTGGTCGATAGGAGAACTACATTTGGACAATAAGAAAGTCTCTGGATGATGGCAGCTTAAAAAACAATGGTGGCATCTTTACCACGGCCTGGTATAGTGTTTATAAATGCCAGTTATATATATAAAAAAAGGTTTATTTAATTTTATCTTCAAATGCAAGGATTATGATTCTGGAGACCATCTACAATAAGTCAGTCTCAAGCAGTTCTTTTCCGCTTCATCGACTTTTAGGCCATCAAATACTTTAGTCATTTTCAAAGAAAAATCTTAGTGATAAGAACCTTTATTTTACCCAAACACAAGCATGTGATATTGCTTTGCAATAAAGGCGATATGAAAATATCATGAAATCTTTTATTGCAGTAGCACAATTTCCTTATTTACATTAAATCCAATCCAGAAACAGACAGCACCTAGTTTTATCTTCACACAATCAGAGCTTGATGCTCTCTTCAGCTCCTCCAACAGGTTCCCTCTGTTTTCTGCTTAATGCTTTAGCCTTAGTTTAATGAAGGATCTGGTGAACCATTCATTTAATTATGCCAAATGCTAAGGAGTCATCTGCTAAAAAAAACTCTGAACACCACTTTTTTCCCAAGTGGGGTCGCGAGGGGGTGCTGCTGCCTATCTCCAGCTGTCAATGGGCGAGAGGCGGGGTACACCCTGGACAGGTCGCCAGTACCTAAAAATTTCTTTTAAAAATCGATTTATGAAAGGGAAACAGGCCCATGGTATCATGCTTTACAATAGATCCTTCCCAATGAGTGAAGTCAATATTTGGCTGAGTTGGAGTCTGGAGCACTCCTGAAAAACACACCAGCTTACCCAGAGGTCTACATGTACTGGTTTGCCCACCCTTTAGTTTGCCCTGAAGGATTGGGTCCTAAGTGGTTTCGGGGAAAGCCATTCGCTGAAGACTGACCCTCCACACCCAGTTCATCTGTCCTATCATTCAGTCCCTTCAATAAACCTAAATGCATATCTTTCAGGCTTGGTCCTAGCTGCTGAAATTACCCTTTTCATTTGTTTTTATACTAACCCCAACTGTGGCAATGCTGCCTAACATCTGAAAGCATGACCAGCACAGTTCCAGATAAAAAATCTTTGCATGAGGCCTAATCAAGCTGTTGGCCAGCAAATTAACTAGGTGATAAGTTGACCAGTAGGTTCTGATGTCCTTCGCCAAAAACATCTAACAGGACTCATTTTAGACTACATTATAAGGAAGAATTTCCTTTAGACACCACAGGTCCTGGTTTGGAAATAAGAAACAGCATGAGTATGAAAAGGTGTAAGAATAAAAATAACCTGCATTACTAAATTTCAGCTATTTTAAAGCACCATTCTATGGGAGCAAAAGCCAAAAATCCTTTTTCCAGGCACGCTTTAACCCCTTAACATGAAGACATTTGTATTCAGCAGACCTCTTCACGATATGAGGCAGACCAAGGGTCTACTCTGGCTGTAGTGTGTAAAGCATGAAAGACCAGAAGAAGCTGAACGAAACGACCCATTAACAACGATGCGCTGATATTTAATATACTGACTTGTGCTTAAGTGTTATATCTGTCGGAAATGAAAAATTCTAAGAAAATTAAATCTAAAAAGATGAAATAGTAATCAACATCAGACTTTCAAAATCTTTAATTTTCACCAGAAATTATTCTCAATATAAAGATTTCCACAAAAAAAAAAAAAAAAGTTACCCTTCAAAAGAAATCAATGTTCCCCTGAATTAGTGAACAATACAAACATACACAATTTCTTTTACCAAAAGAAACACAACATGGAAATCTGTTCATTGTCCTGCTGCCGGTCTCTGCTCTGCCCTGCACACTTGTGCTCCTGACAGTGTCTGTCTGCTTAAGTCGTGCCAGTATGAAGGGACTTAAGAGCGAGAGGCCTTATTGATCGTCTTCTATGAGTGAAGTCCAGGCATTAGTTCCAGCAGGGTGAGTAGACAGCTGTCCGTGAGCCACTCTACTGGGCCAACATCGCAGGGCTGAGTGGAGCTGGGATCTGCACTTTTGATTTTGATCTCTCCAACATCACTTCTATTGACTGACGCACTGTCCTCCGCTTTACTTGCTAGGAGAAGCACTTGCTGAGGCCTTGCTAGGAGCCTGGGCACAAGCCACCATTACATTATCAGGGATCCCCTTGACAAGGTTGCAGTGATGAATCTTCCATGGTCTGCTGAGACCTGTTCCTAATCACTGCTGTTATCTGCTGATGACTAAAGTATCCACTGGCCACAGCAATCATACGGTGGGTTATCGTGGAGCACGGGGCAGAGAATCCCAGCCTTATCTAGCTTCTCCTGAGTCAACTGGGCGATCCAAACTTCAAAGCACAAGTCAGAGGCACAGTACTCCCATTTTACTCTGAAATGTTTGTTGTTGTTTTTTTTGGCTTTACAAATTTGAGATAATCACTCCATTTCATATTTCAATATTTTCCTAGCATTCAAGTATTAAATAAGTAATTTTCAAACTGTCAGTGGTGGAACTGCAAACGAGAATGTCCAGAACCGAGTTAATCCAAAAATAAAATGGTAGAAATATTTAGACATGGATACGGTTGGTCCATTAAGTCAGCACTTCTTCTAAACCTAAATTCAGTCTGCTCTTTTATTGGATTTAAATAAAGCTAGTAAAAACTGTAATTTTACCGCTGGATCAGGATGTTCAGGTCTGCCAGTCCCTTTTTCATCCAGTTTAGTTTTAAGGTGCAGTACCTGCTCCTCCTGATTCAGACCAATCCATAATTATTCCACTTTCACTCATAAATGTTTGTGTTCCTACTTAAGACAGCTCTGAAAACAGAAAGGCGTGTTATGAACAAAAATAGTTACTCCTGCCATCTAGTGGTCTTCTCATCAACTGCAAAAAAAAAAGGCCATAAAAGTGCTTCTGACTTCCACTTGAACGTCAGTCTCCTGCCTTAGTCCCAGCTAATCTTTCCTTCAAGTATTGTATAGTACAACAGAATAAGAGTCTCATTGGATCATTAGGCCTAACAGGACTTTGTGACCCCACCATTGCACGATGACATCATCTTCCTGGCTCTCAGCAGCCTTCGCCCTTCCTCATAGTCATCCTGATCCACGCTGATCAGGAGGCGGACGCCCTCTGAGCCAACAGCCGTCCTCAGGGAGTCCGTGATGAAGACCCCCTTGAGGGCCTCCAGCAGCGCCCCGCTCAGGTAGTCAGCCCAGAAGGCCTCCAGGTTGTCCAGCTCTGTGAACTTGATGTCGCAGACGATGGAGCCCAGATCCCTGGTGCGCAGCAGCGAGCTGGCTCGGCTGAACAAGTCGAACTGACGCTCCAGCGGCTGACGCTTGTCTGAAGAGACGCCCTCACGCAGTGCTGACTCGTGCTCCAGGTACTCGGCCCGTACGCGTAGGCGAATATCTGATAATAGAAGGTGGTGGAGGAAGCAGTGGTTGGGGCGGGGGGTAGATAATCAAGGGAAGAAAAAGACGGGAAAGATTTTAAGGGGTAATGAGGGCAAAACAAAAGGGGGAAAAAAGAAAAAGAAAAGAAACGTTAGAAAAGTAGTTGAAATAACCAATATTTAGGTTCTACAGTGCTGTGAGGAACTATTCAGCTCAAGATTCCTTGTTTCTTTTGCCACCTAAACTTTCAGATCAAACATATTTAAATATTGGAGAAAAGAAAAAGAAATAACTGAAAATATAAAAGAATATATATGTAGAAACTAACTACATTAGTTGACTGTTCAAACTCATTTCAAAAGGCTGATTTAAGTCATAATGGCAGAATCAGGAAATGGCTAAAATGGAACCAATCAGGCAACATAAAAGGTCTGAAAATGCAGAATGCCCCTAATGTTTGCTGATAAAAAAAACAAGCCACTCCTTCTTAGACCCTTCTATTGGGCTGAAGTGAGGAAATCTTATTCAAACCTCTTCCAGAGTGATGTAAAGGACTGGTTCCTCATAACTGCCAGATGAAGCTTTGATGTTTAAAAAGTTTAGAGGTAAAAATCACATTTTGCAAAGTGCAGAGTTGAAAAAACTATCAATATTAACACCTTTTTCAGTAGAATGTTTTAATCTGAAACAAGGCGATAAGAGGCAGAAACAGAAGAAATCTGTAGCTGATAGTTCTCACAGCGTCACTACTGGATGGTATATTCATGAGCATTTGATTTTTCTTTTAAGGGGGCACCTCTCCCACATAATAGACTGAATTCAATGGGCTTTCGTTTGTTTATAACATCAGTTCCACAGGAAAAAGAAAATCTAAAGGTGCAGCAGTGAAATCTGAGATGTAAGGGAACTAGACCAACACATCTGAGAGCATCTTGGCTGTAAATATGGTCCCCTCGGCTTGTTTTGGTGAAACTTATTTTGGTAAGGCGGAGCAAGGAAAGAAATACTCATCTGATCCAGCAGTGTTGTTCCTTTTCTTGGTCGGTCATTTGTATGAATTTGAGTATCATTGGCAGCTGTTAACAGAACGGTTGAATCAGAAGAAACTGGAGCATGAGAACTTGTGGTTTGACAGCTTTAAAAAGGTCCACAAACATCATGGCTGGAGCTTTCATTTAATGAATCAACTGAAATGGCGTTTACACCGTGAGCAAATATTTTGTAGATTGAAAAAAAAAAAAAAAACAGCCTTAGGTGGGCAGCTTAAATGTTAATAAGAATTGATTCTCTTTCTAATGTTCAATGGTGAGAATAAATAGCTTCTGGAGTTTCCGTAGTTTACAGGACTGATGGTCATGCAACAGCACAGCGAGAAATATTAGAGGATACATACTGTACTGAGCAAGAGCAACGCTGAGATCACCTCCCATGACATTTTTCCAGAGCTCCAAGAGGAAACCGGGTGCTGATGACTTTTGCTGCAACAAAAACCCAGCACTCCCAATCAAACCCGTATGAGGAGAGGTGAACAGCAGTGGACACAATCTAGAAACATTCTCATTCAATCATGTTTAGTGAGATCAATTCCAGACCCAGGCCTTCGAACACTTTTAAAGATTGAAAGCAAAAACAGAAGCAAATATTGGAACACTTCAGATTTTTGGGATTGAATAATCCATAAAGGTTAACAAATGATGTGCACCCAGATTTTTTTTTTTTTATCCAGAGATTCTAACTTCTTGGATTGGATTTACTTTTGTACACCGATATAAATTCTGTAGCTACATATCCTGTGTTTCAACAAGGATGGACTGTTTAATAAAACAGGCTATATGGTTTAACTTAATTTTGTTTAGAAAGTAGCACATAATTTAGTCAGTTCTATGGTCTCCATCACAAATGAAATATTAAATGCATAAAACATTTAGAAAAAAACACTTATGTTCCGACCCTGCTGTAGCTTTGGCTACATTTAAATAAGTATTTATTTCCTTATAGTGGTTTGGTGACCCGCTAAGATCAGAACATTTTGGCCTTGAATGAACAGAATGTTCTCCATTATTTCCCCATTTTAAGAGGCCGGAGAAAAATGGCCATATATGGTGTCATATTGATGCACTCTAAGGGCAGGGACCCATTATCAATATAAGCTAGTAATATTCCAATGTACCTCCTGAGGTAATGTACTCTAATATGCATATAATGTAATAGTTGTGACTATTAAAAATATATTTTTCATTCAGTTCTAATAAAGTCTCATGTACCTCCTTTTCAGCTTTATTTTCTTTGGGGCCGTAACAAATGGCATCGGACTCATGAGGTTAACTATGGAAATGCTGACATTAGAAATGCAAATGTCGAATTAATAGCATTGATTTTGAATCCCTTAACATTTGGAGAGGAGTGGTATCAAAACATTGGTTTTCCTTGTGGGTTCTTCATTAGATTATAAAGTAGAAGAAAATACCAAAATGTCACATTCGTAAGAGACGTTTTTTCAAATTCAGGCACAGAGCTAACCAATGTTAGATAATTAATTCACATGTAAGCTGAAAACAAATGCTGGGGTCTTTAGAAAAGTATTAAGGTACGAGAAGAAAAATTCCTTTTTCATGAAGACCTTTAATTCTAATACATTTTTAGCCGTGTCTCTATCACAGTATGCCGAGACTTACAACACAAATGCAGTTTTAAAAATCTATACCTCTTAAAGCAAATATTGCCTGTAATTAGAAACAAATACATGAAACTATTTTATTGTCTTAATTGTCATTTTATTGCATCGCTGTAACCTTTCACGGCACCCAAAGGAATTGTATTTAGGTGCATTACAAAGGATCCATGATCTATGAATATGGGGGAAAGGGCTCACTATTTGTTGTATAGTAACAACCCTAGGGAGGAATGTGATAAAATTGAGTTAAATATGAACCATTACAATCAAGATCAGGGATCAGGGTTGGGGGAGGAGTGGGAACAGAAGCATAAGATGGGAAAAAAAATCTGTCGAATACAGCATCTTTGGACTATTTATCAGAAGCAACATTTCCACAGGCATTATGGGCGAATTTCACAGAATGTTTTCAGGTACATGCTTTACAACCGTAAAAATAAATTTACTATTTTCATATCACAGCCAGAATTTTAAAAATTGCACTCCTTTTCAATGACTTGTATGTTAAGATGGCTTTTATCCATCAGCAGTGAAAATAATTGGTTACAAAGAGCTTTAACTTTTTAAAATACCTGCTGTGGTTAGAGTGAGGCATTTCAAGTCTTGTAAATCGACCTTTTCTATTATTACACAGCATGCAATTACCAGGACTATGATAAACACTTTCCAATTACTGCATTTATGGCTGGTCTTCATTTCCCATTGAGCTGGATAGAAGTAAAGACAGTGAGTTGGAAGGTCTTTTAAAACCCACAGGAACACAGTGATAGTCATTTTGTTAGGGTTACAGAGAACTTCACGCTTCATCGGACACAGAGACATCCACTTAGACAGGACATTAGGAGGCACAGTTTTCATTACTCACTTTCAACACCAAGCCTATTTGGCTTCCTCATCTCACCCTCCCTCCCTTCCCAAAAAAGTTTAAGTATCCATTTACTAGGAGCCGCTTGGCACGGAGAGCTTCGACTCTTTATCGATCCATTTTTTCTGGTGTACAACCGACCAAGAGAGTGGAGAGCTACGGGGAAATCTGAGAGACAGGCACACAAACCTCTCATGTCCCATAGACAAATCACTCTTTACCGTTTTTGCGTGGTTTGAACATTTAGTGTTCGATCTCTCGCTCTCTCATTGTGTGTAAGGATATCGTTTTCCTGATACACACGTTGGGACTGTTTAGAACTGCGAATACAGAAAGAGAAAGAGAGACAAGCACAAGTGGGTTGGATGAGGGTTGACCAGGTTCCTTTTTTTCCTTCAACATCAAGCAGGCACTTCTTAGTAGTTATCAGGTTTCAGACAGGCCAGTAGTTGTCAATGTCAACTTAATCAATCCAGATATACTTAAATGGGCTCTTAAGATACACTGGAATGCTTGGGACTACTCCTACGTTGGACTGTTTTCTTACATTCAACCATTACAACTAATGACTTAATCAACAGGGGTTAAAGCAAACATAAGCCTACCCAAGCAGGCCTTGTAGGAACAGGAGTATTAGCAGTTGTCAATGTCACAGTATAATTCAGACACTCTGGTGAAAATGGTTTTGGAGATGAGTCATGACAAGAGAGACTATTTAAGGTCTGTTGAAATGCTAGGGGCCAGTGATGGACTGAACTGCCCTATCTATCTCTGCTCCGTCTCCACATACGCACACGGGGGGCCTCACACGGGTCGCAGAGATAAGATACAGCAACGAGCTTCCCTCAGCAGAGCACTACTCCATTTTCTCAGAGCTGCTTGGAAGAAAAAAAAAAGGACTTCCAGCAGAGTTGTTTCTTCTAAAGCAGCAGCCATCTTGGATCATCTGAAAGTCAAAGCCAAGCTAATTCTCACATTCTGACACCAATCAGGATTTTATGGTGCTAAAATGTGTGAAAACAGGTGTTTTACACAAGTATGACCAACATATTTTCAGTTTTCCTTTTTCTTTATTTTGATCATAGGACAACTTAACGTTCTTTAATATCATACTGAAGTCAATATGCATTACAAATCAATATTAGGTAAGGCAAATTTTATCTTGAGATTAATAGACACATTCACATTAAATTTAACCTTTTCAGTGTGCAAGTTGGTTTACTGGGGAAAAAGCAATGTTTTTAAATTAAGCTTAAGGAGACACAAAAAGCATAGCTCCAATAAGACAAGTTTTATGGGCGTGTCCGACTGACTTCCACCCCAAACCTAATTCTCCTACTCACTTCCAGGCAAATAAGGTCAAGATTTCCTTACTTTTATCTCTCTATAACGGGTACATCCTCAAGTATTAAAACATCCTCATAAAAGAAAGTAGTTCATCAATTCTTCACCCTGCTACGACATTAAAATCGAAGAATAAAATGATGCCATAAATGTTAAAATGAGCCAAATATTTTCATATCTGTCGATGTCCATGGCGCTAGACGGAAACACGATGAAAAAAGCAGAGCTATTCTATTAAATCATTTCATTTGTATACATTTTATTGATTTAAAGATATTGAAAAATCTTCAAATACTTTTAAGGAAATAAGGTCTACCTCATCTGGTAAAACCACTACTGACAAATGAAATTTTTAAAAATTATTATTCCCAGAACTGAAAACTCTAATTATCTTGCAGTTGTGCTTCATCAAAATTATTTCCCCTGTTTTTTATGATAAAGGTGTATTCCTGAACTTAAGCTTTTTTTTTATAAACGGTATGTTGGCCATATTTGTGAGTCACCATTTAGCCTAGCGGATCAATTCTGATTAAATTAAATCCAGTTCCAAATTGGGATGACTTTAGTAAGCCAGACGCATCAAATCTCTTCCATCTTGGAGTTTTACTTTTAAACAGGCACTGCATACTTGTGAGAGGGACTTGTAGCGTACTGCTGAGGACTCGGGGGTCAGTTGTTTAACACACTGAGCTCTTGTCAGAACAGGAGTAAATCGAGACTGTGACAACTTTTTTTTTTTTCCACAGTTAAGACTAAATAGAGGAAGAATTATCTAAAAGCAAATTAAATTTGATGACAGGGGACCAGGTAAGGAGCATCTATGGTAGACAAGCATCGTATACAGAGCAAAGTAGCAGCTCCACCCCCTGTTGTAACAAGGAGGAGAGCCTCTTTTTACCTTAGGCATCGGCCCAGACTTGTGAGAGCACATGACTGAGTTGATCACGCACACTGCGGTACGTATGCACAGAGTGGAGTGACAGACTTTTTTGTTTTGTTCCTCAGTCTCGATCTCTGTCTTCATGATCCATTGTGTCTTAGGTAACTCGATCTGAGTCACAATCGGAGTCAACCTGGTGGAATCAAATGTTGAGTCAAGACAGCAGCATGTTCACAGGCACATCACTCAACTTTAATACCCATGGGGGCTGTCTTCCTTCCATTATTATATTTTATTCAAGTTGGCTTCATCTGGCCTTTGGTTTGGTCAGTATTTGGCATTTTCAGGCAAAGACGGGCCTTGAAGAGGGGATGTTTAAGCTTTTTGACTTACTGAGCAAAAAACAGAAGAAATGGAAGGTTTGCGCAACATTTATCTTTAGGCGTTGAGGAAAAAAAAGATGAATTTTTAAGAGCTGGATATTATTAGAATTTGGTGGACATGGACACTTTGATACTAAAACAAATCTAGCAGTGAAAAATGCCTCCTTATGACATTTAGAACAAGAAGATTATAAAACGGTTTATATTTCAGTTTTGCAACATTAAAGATTTACGTGGATTGATTTTTCACATTGCTCTGGAAGATACTTGAAGGTCAGAAGTTAAATTTCTTATATTTGAAGAATATTTGTCAAATTCCTGGATTTTATTCCATTGGAGTGAGATGTTGAAGAGATCGCATGAAGCAGTCGTTTTCCTAAGCCACTCTGCTAAGCTGAACAAAACTGTATTTCATTGGCTGAAGATGAGATAGCAACAAACAAAAAGAAAAATCAAGATCTTAGAGCGAAACCAATCTTGTAACTCAGTTCTACTTTGTTTGCCGTTTTTGGGGTATCCTAAAAAAGCCCTCACCACAGTAATATGCATCTGGGTGTTCTTTAACAAACAGGGAAGCTTCTGCACCATCAGTTTCAACCTTGCTTTAGAGGAGAAAGCCTTTACCAGCTTATCAGAATGGAAGGACAGTTGATGATTGCTATCCTGCCAATACTCTTACTCTCTCTGGGCTTTTTGGTTCCATCTTTAGATTTACATTCAAATTTCTCCTCAACTCCTTCTAGCTGAAAATAAAGTACATAATGATCTCTAGGTGCCAGATGATGACTTGTTGAATGTTCAGTTTAGCTGCATGGCGAGACTTTTTTCCTCCGGCCAGCCTGGTGTGGATGTGATGAAGTAGCAGCATTGTGGTTAAGCCAACAAATCCCATCAATTCTTCAAAGGCCATTGCCTAACAGTGCATACAGGCAACACTATGGATAGCATACGTGCTGCTACCACAATATTGAACCAACACGATCTGTCTGAGTTTTGTTCACACTTGAACCAGTGGAGGAATATGCAATAGGGACAACGCTGCATTCCTTATATACACTTCAGAAGACCTCTTCAAGACCCTGCTGAGACCATTTATACGTTTTTGTGTGTAAATGGGGCCTAATTAGTACAGGATAAAAAGCTAAGGAAATCCATCTCAGTATTATAAGTTACACATTTACCATAACCAAATTAATTATTAATTTCAATCAGCTGATCAATACTAAGAGCAATTGTTCTTTTGTTTTTAATAAATCATTTGTTTTTATGTCACTGATCTATAGATATGCATCGGCCAACTCAAAGCTACATACTCAATACATTTTTAATGTTAACAACCACAAATAAGTTAACTATATATTAAATCTATATATTAAATTTAAAAGGCAGCTCTTGAAACAACTTAACTATTTTAGGAAGCCTGTTTCTAAGTCTATACCTAAAATATCAAACAGAAAACATTTTAAGGTGACGTAATGCCCGTCTTTCAAAGTTAATAGAACTTATGCATCATTAATATTTTAATATTCCTCATTCAGTGACCAGAATGAGGAATTCTGTACAGTTTTGCGTTTCATCTTGATACCCATCTTAAATAAAGACCAAGTAACAGCTAATTAAAAATGCCAAAAAGGTATTTAGTACCCATTTTCTGTTGAGCTGAGATTTAGTCTAGAGTTTAAGAATTTAATTTTGGATGTTTTTGAAGTTTTTTCATCGTTTTTGCTTCTGTAGGAACCAACTCAAGAGTAATTTCATGAGTTTAGTTGAGTTGAGTTCATTTATACTTTAAATTTTTAAGGGAAATTAAATGAAAGCAGTACAACAAAGCAGAACAAAGGGCGGCTCTTAGGTCGATAGGAGTAAAACCTGGATTGAAAGACAAAAAGAGCAGGGAGTAGCCACCAGTTTCCATTCCTAGTAGCAGTAGCTGAACACAGACCGATGCGTTAGAGAAATGTTAAGTGAGGGAATAGCAATGCAATAGAGTCAATGAGAAAACAAAAAAGTATGTTCGAGAAAGGTATTAGGATACTGTTCATCCTACAACACTGAAAATGGTTTGAATATTTTGGATTTCGATGATCCAAAGAGGAATACCGAAAAATGTAAAGGTGATATTAAAATTTGTCCAACAACAGAACTGAGGTTGAGTTTTATTACTCAAACTGTTTGTTGGTAAATGGGATGAATTGGCCAGAAAAGTATAAAAACACAAGTTGCTGTAATTTTGAAAGGTATTAAATGTGGGTTTGGATCTGGAGAATTTATCCCTACCTTTATGACCAATGAGGTCTAATTCAATGTAAAACACTTCTTAAGTGTTAACATCATTTTCAAACTTTTTTAAATCTTCACTGAGGTAAAATATAGGAATTGATTGATCTACTTCATGGATCTTTCCGTTGAATGTTACTTTAACTAAACAGATGGTGTTTGCTTCCTTCCAACAAAAATGGTGAGAAAGACTGCTGTCAGCAAACGCAAAGATTCAAGCTGAGGATCAGCAGAAATAATTAAAATCAGTTTAAAGCATAAGTGAATGAAATGGAGGAAATTGAGGATGTTAAAAGACTGAGAAGTTTATGTTTTTAGGATATTGACTTGAAAAAGGAAAAACAATAGGAGAAACTGAGAGCGCTTATAAGAGCAAAGGATGTAAACTTAAAAAAAGACATGTTGCCCATGTAGTCACTGCACTTACCACACGACACTTTCTGAGGTGCAGGCGGGAGAGGCAGTGGCTGAACCGGTCTGCTTGTTTTCTTGGGCTTACGGCTCCAGCCATGTCCTCTCTTCTTCCTCCGAGTCCTTGTAGAAGACCCAGCTGCAGGAGGGTAAATACCTGAAAACATAAAACATCTGTGTCATGGCTTGAATTGTAGGAAACAGGCAAAAGTAGGGTGATTCTTTTAACATCTGTTGCAACTGCTTCTAGGTTGACCACAAAAACAAGAACTTGAAAAATAAAACCTATAATATAGATATTAGCATAACTTATGTAATAGACAAAGACGAATGTGCATGGCATACATTTATATTCAAAGCCTTAAGAGCCAATACTTTTGTAGGTCAACCTTTAGCTGCAATAACAGCGTCTTTTGAAAAAAATTATTTTTGCTGCTCCATCATAATTGCTAAGAGTCCATTTACTCCATGTCTGTACTAGAGAGGAGTTTGTATGAATGAGTAGCCATTGCCTGGATGATAACATGAAAGTGAAATGCGACATGACCACTGAGGCTTCACTCAACATTTAGTACCATATGTGTCACAAATTGTAATTTTTGGAGGTAAAAGTAATCGGACAGTTCTGACTACCACTAAAGAGTCAGATACGAGCCCCTTTTGGGCAAAAATATAAAAATAAATCCCAAGTAAACCCTGACTGTTAGGTTAGGTGGAGAACTATAACTATATCTCTGCAGATTAGCAGTTGTGCCATAAGCTTTGCAGTTTTTGTCAATGCTTAAATGTTTTAGCTATTTAAAGCTTACAATAAAACTAACCCCCCTTTGAAACCACTTCCCTTTATCCCCGACCTGTCTGATGTAAATTTCGATCTTTGAGATCATACATGATATAATATTCTCCAATTTTTGAACCCCCTTAAAAAAAAGTCTGATTTATATTGAGATTAAAACCAACACAGATGGGCTCAATCTAATACACAAGTTCTTTCTTAGAACAGATGTTCACCAGATTTTTTTCTGAAGAAAGAGATTAAGAGGGTTGAATATGTGCCACTCTTATCAGATTCTTTTTTTCTGAAAAACAGGATCAAAAGAACTGTGAAAACCATAAATACTTTCATACCTAGCTCATCTTTACCTCCTCGACACACAGGTTCTAATTTAGCACACAATTAGAACATAAGCAGACCATGAAATCTGTAGCAATTAAAACACATTGAAATGAACAGCTGTGAGGACTATAAAAGCTCTGCGACTACACCTCTGATAATCCAACTAAAATAGTGGAAATTTGTTGTGCAATTTGATGATAATGTTGCAAGCTAGACAGGAAGTAAAATGTTGGCAAGTTAAATCAGATCTACTTTAGAGAAAAATGCAAACTAAAAAGGTCAAATTATGACAAACATTATTTCTGATTGCACAGTTTTTTTCTAGTTAATTTCCAGCTTGGGTGTGCTTTATGAATAGGCCCATTATTGAATTATCTCCAGAAAATATTATCTCAAGAATTCTGTCTTAAGTATAATGATGCTCACAAGTAGTGTGTCTAGGTTAGTATGCTCTATTTTATGATTCCCCATCGCATAAGATCCCAATCAGAGGTTCACAGTTAGCATGTGACAGAATATGGTACGGGTAAGAATCGTTTAGCAAAGCCCGCTATAAGTATTGGCTTTGACAGAGTGAGAACTATTCTACCAACCAAAATAAAAGGAAAGCAAACTTACCTGTAGTTAACTGTTGTGTGAAGGATGAAAGAGGCATATCCGTGTCTCTGCAGCTATGCTGTAATCCAAACACCAGTTCGGATTTATCTAATTCATACCTCTGTCCAGTTCTCTCAGGGGACACTGAAAAACACAAATTAAACATCAGATACTAACAAATGGAGCAAGAAGAGATGAATGAATAATTCTGGGAGGACATTACAAAGCGGCTACAGTCATTGCATCTATGTGATCACCTGTCCTCCTTCTCTTGTGGGACACAAATGGCAGCAGATCATGACGGGTGAGAACTCTTAAGAGTTGGAGCAGTGGCTCCAGGTTGCCATCACTGAGGTATCCTCTCCTTTCAAGCTCTAGCAACAGCTCAAGGCCGCTTTTAGACTTTGAGACCACTGAAGGCTGCTGTGATTCGTTGTGCTTGATCCGTCTCCATGCTTTGAGCAGCTGTGGACTCGGGGCTACACCAGAGTCCTCTGGATCGCCTTCAGCAGGTTCAACCGTCCAGCCAGCCGGGTCGAGAGGGTGTGATCCGGGGTAGGTTTCATTCAGCAGGAAAGACAGAACTTCAACGTCTGCTTCTGTTAGCTGAGAGCCAACTACTTCAAACATCTCATGGAGAGAAAGCATCCCATAATAGTTCATGCACTCCGTTTCGTCCCAGTGGAGCGATTCCCTGAGGGTGCGCTGGGGGTACCGCACTGCAGCCATGTTTTTTTCCACGTTTTCTTATCCAAAACTGTTCAACAGGAAAGAAGCACAAACAATTAACAATATTATTTTAAAGCAGCAAATAGATAGGCACCAAGAAGCCAACAATTATGCTCATAAGAACCTGGGTGTTCTGTGGCATTTTATAAAAGGAAGACATGGTTTGATAGTTTTCGTGGAGTTTTAGGAGTAGCATTAGTCAGAAATAAATGAATTAAATGGTGCTTGACAAATCTGATTATCTGAGCTGCATAAAGCCAGTTCAATTGTATGGACCTTTTCTGCATCTTGAAATGGCTTTGTCCATATTGTTTTAAAAAAAAAAAACTAAAATTAGGTGAATTATTTAGGAGCAGTCTAACAAATGCAAAAAAACAAAACAAAAAACAAATGACTACTCAAGGCTAGCTTCATTTAACTGGTACTTTGTTTACAAAGTTCTAGATATTCCTAGTTAAATCAGAAAAAAAAAATTATACACTGTGCAATTAAGGATGAACAAGAAATTGTACTAAATAAGCAGTAGATGTCAATAGACTAAGACTATGTTCACACTGCAGGCCTTGATGCTCAATTCCAATTTTTTTGTGAAATCCCGAATTTTTTGCGTTGCCGTTCACATTACCAAATATATACAACTATATATACAACTTGTATGTGATCTCCTGTGTGAACTGCATTCATTCAGCTTAACTGTCCCATATGTGCAGTAGAGGACGCAATGACGTCACAAGCCAGCGTGCTTCGTGTTTACGGAAGTAACCGAGGATGTAGTGCTGGAGCGCATCTAGCGATCTTTCCAAATCTTAAAACTTCAATCTTTTCAAGATGCTTAAAGCCATGGTATTTGTTTTTCTTGCCACTTCTGCACAGCAAGAAGCAGAATAGTGACCTATGTCAGTCACTAATGGCGTTGTGTTCGGATGGATGCGACCTGGCCGTTCAGACACAGGTCGCATTTGAAAAGATCAGATTCGTATTGGATCCAGGACCACATAGCCAGTTGGCCTGGGTCGCATTGGAAAAAAATTGGATCTGTGTTGTTCAGACTGCCGTGAAAAGATCAGATCCAGGTCGCATATGGGCAAAAAAAAAAAAAAAAAAAATTTTTGGATGTAAATAATAATCGTTTTGTATCGATGCATCGATCCAACAGCCGACGATCCGATGCATCAATACGTCCGCAAGAGTATCGATTCATGTTTTGTTTTTTTCCCCTCCGGCCTATTTTTATCCATTTACGCCTGGACGTAATTCCTCCTCCCGTGCTGCGGTGGCGCTAAACCTATTTTGCCCTCCTACCGCGCTTCCTGGTTATACTCTTACAGCAGTGTGTTGCTGTAAGCTTGACACAGACATTTTTAAGTTGCTCAATATTGAAGCATGATCTGTGCTACACACTGTGGGTCTAGATACGGCCGAGATGGAGAGGAAGTGGGGGGCGAGTTTAGTCTGACGACGGAGGGACATGAGGGCAAAAAAGAGCGGAGATCCAGGTGGAAAAAGGGTCCCAGCGTTCTCGTGCACCTCTCTCTTCTAGCGGGTCAAACTTCAGGAGTTTTCCGCAATTTCGGTCATTAAAAACAAAACAAGCCGGCCTCCTGTCTGCAGTCAGCTACAATTTGGGAGAGGTGCAGCAGAGTGTCTGTGGAGGGGGCGGGGACGTCTGGAGCCGAGGTATTGCATTGCACTGATTTTGTGCAGTATTTTTTGATGCAACTTTTCTACTTCTTTTATTTGCTGTTGTTTCTCAAAAAAAAAAAAAGGATAACGATATTACAGCTTTCAATGATTTATTTCAAATTTGAAACATTGACTAGCCTGTAAGCTGTTAAAAAAAAGAACCAATTAATCGAATCTTATGGTGGTGTATTCTTGAGTATCAAAAATAATCGAATTGTTGGGTCAGGAAATCGATACTGAAACGAATCGCCATGATGGATGTGATTTACACCCCTTGATTTGGGTCACTTCAGGCTGCGGTGTGAACGTAGCTTGTTACTGGATCATATTTAAAAATAAAGTAAGATTAATTATCATAAACATTACGTTTATTTTATATATATATATATATATATTAATTTTTATGATTTACAGCAAAAGAAACCCCAGGACAGTCAGGCATGCTGTCCCAAATCATCACCAACAGAAAACGTTACAATGAATACTTGCTCTACTCTTGTCTAGACTCTGGAACCTTAATCTTTAGATGAAAATTCACCAAAATCTGTCTTTGAACCAGTGAATTAAAGTTAAGAACTTTTCAAATCAACCCAGGTAAAGCCACACAAGGAAATTGCCAGTAAGGTCTTGTTGTAGTCCCTTTTAAAGCTCTGACTCATTTTACTTCTAAATACTCTCAAAGCCAGTATTTCCTGCTCTGGGATGGGGGTCCTGAAAGGCTAGGGTCATGCGCATTGCTCCTCCTCTGCATGCCATCAAGCCCTTTAGAAATCTTTTTATCACCAATTAATACCAATCAACTGTGTTGCAGCAAAGAGATGCCTAAAACATGTAGCACAGCTGATTTTCATTGATAGCTGATTAACAGACTTTTGCTATATTTAAATAATCAGTACCAGCTGTGCTAAACCTGCTATAAATACTTGGATATACCACTGGCTTAACAGCCATCTTCCTTAGAGATGACATTTTGTGGCCTTCCCTGATGTGGAAATTGTCAATAACCACTTGAACAACTGCCAAGTCAGACACCGTGCAGCAGATATAAACGTATAAAATATAATTATCTGTGTATAATGATTATAGATAACAGCTGTTGCATTGTATTGTGATCCATTGGAGGCCCCTAGACGTGTTAACATAGCATTACTAATTCGACAGAGCAAAATAACAAAGAGAAGACATTTTGTGTTTACGAGGTCTGCTGAATTACCTTTTCGATGTCCTTGGGTCGACGCTGTTTTGCCAAACAATGGGCCAGTTATTCGCTGTTAAAATTCAGCAGAAAACAACAACTCGCTGGAAGCCAAATAAACCACTGGTCCTTTCTTTTGACGCCCAGCAGCAGCAGCGCTGATTGGTACAGCCGTGTGGTCGTTTATGTAACCTCTCACGTTTTCTGTGTTTAAAAAAATAGAAACAGCGTAATTTAATAACAGATTTCTGCCACAAATGATAAAGTTCAACATAAAATATATTCATTGTTCTTACATAATATGCAGACTCTTTGTTAGCAGTAAAAATGTTTTTTACTGTTAGTGCTACCAGATATTGTCTGAAATACACTATTTTGACCGTTAAGGTGCGCACGCGATTAAACGTAAGAATGAAAAGTGTCCTTTTAAGTGTTTCGGTGTATTTTAGACTCGCTTTTTAAATAAAATAAACTGTATCATTCTAACTCACCGCACTCCTGCCGTATCTCCTCTTCCGCTGGAAGATCTAGCAACTTCCACAGAGGAACGTGCTCGGTGACGCGACGACGACAACGCTGAGGAATTGACCAATCAGATCCCTGTTGCTTGACTGGTGATGTAAGGTCACGTTTTTACGGCACTGATCTGCGAGCTCAGAGACTGCAGACAACTGATATCTTTTTTTCCCAACAAACTGTTATGGCTTTCGCTTGACCCACTATTATTAAAATCGAAATCACTGTAAAGAAGGCTCATATGCATTTTATGACCAATTTAAACACATGAAAATATAAACTTTTCCATATTACTCCCTTATGCGTATTTTTTGACAATGTGTTGTTTTTGGTGGTGTCGATAGGTGGCGGTAGGGTGCATCAGAGTGCTGAGATGGTTTTATGCTCTCTACAGCCACATCACATCCGGGATTCAGAACACAAACAAGAAGGGGAAGCTGTCTTTTAAAACTTTTCCAGTAAGAATCTATATTTACCTCTAAGGATTTTACGATTTACAAGTTACATTTTTTTTTTTGCTATTTAATAAATTTATAAACGCGTATGTAAAGTGTTTTGACGTAAAGCTATTTGCTTGGGCCAGAGTTAACGAAAACGTTAGCAGAGAAGCTAAATGGGCTAATCACTTGAACATCTTTATGTTTTGCATCAGATATTTACGAATATTACACAATGACGCTTCTCGCTAAAGAGGAGCTCTAAATATACTTCACGAAACGTTTTTTCTTGCTTAGCCTGAGTGACCAAGCCCCTTTTTGAATGTATTTTTCCACTGCTAAACTATTCAAACTATTATGAGCTATCATGTGATTGACACTATATTCAGCTTTTATCTTATTTTAGATATTTAAATTTGTTTGCTTTGGTATGGATAACAAACACGAGGGATCATTTAATTTTGTTTTAAGCTATAAGCTTAAATGTCGTGTTTTATGAAAATATGAACCCCAGATATCTTTATCTTGACTCTATAACATCTATATAAATAGCTTCAATTGAACTCTTTCTGAAATATTATTAAGTCTTATTCAGTTGTTCGTCTCCAGGCTATGGAGATGCTGTTACTCATTTCTTAGATATTATTTGTTTAGTTTTATACCTTGAACTAAAACAGTTTCTACCTGAACACAACTTTGTTATTTTTGTTCAATGGTTAAAAAAAATGCTCGTCACACTTTCTAACAGGTACATTAAAATAGTTTTGGGTATTTCTCATCTTATATAACTAGTTATCTGGCAGTGGGAATTTTTCACTTCAATATCAGTAGGTCAAACATGGAAAAGTTAGATTTTGTTTCTTATTCATTAAGGTGAATAATGAATAAACAATTAGAGACTCAGATATAGAGCTGCAACCTCTTAAATGCAAAATGTTTAACTTTTTTTTTTTTTTTTTTTTACAATTTTGGTATAATTACTGCTCTAAGTAGGTTGATCTGTCACCTAAAGGTATGATTTAGAATCTTAATACTCCAGTTAATGATTAATTGATAAGTTAATTAGGTGACGACTATAATTGTTTCTGTCCTACTGATCCTGATTTGTCTACAAACATGCACTAGTAGGGACATGCTTGAATGGGAATAATCCTGTAAGACCATGTTGTATCAGATTAAAAACAACTACCCTTATTTAAAAAAAAAAACCCTTATTTAAAAAAAAAAAAAAAAAACCTTGTAAAAAGATAAACCAATCCATTGCAAATTAGTATGCGTTATAGTTCGTAGATTCAAAATTGTCCAGCTTATGTAACATATTTTTTATTTTTGCATGGCTCAGTTGCTAGCTTAACCATTTTTTGTTGACTATTCTCTGTTTGAATAATATCACTTAAACATTTTCTAACATTCCAAAACAAAAAATTATAACTTTTAAATCAAAATTAGACAATAAATTGAAAATCGGTTTCAACAATATCAGAGTAAACCTGTAGAATCTAATTTCCTGGTATCACATGTTTTGCTAATCCTTGGTTTTTTTGCTACATGTATATTATGCTGCCAAATCTATTTTGACAGTTAGAAGCCTGAGAGAATCCTAAATTTGTAAATTTAATCCTAAGGTTGTATTGATAATAGTTTTAGCCTGATCACAGTGATTAGCTCCCAATTTGCAACTTGAACACATTTCTGTTATATCTTCTTATTAGTTCTGCTGCATGATTATGCTTTCACAGTTAAATCCTACAGCTTTGCGACATAGTAAGTAATGTTTATTTATAAAGCACCTTTCACAGCCATAAGGGTCACAAAGTGCATTGTGTTGCAGTGATTACTTTTGTGCTGATGTGTAAAATATCACAATCCCAAAAGTCTCCTTTGAGTCCATTTTAGCTTTTCATTCTGTTTTATCTGCTATGCATTTCCGCTTGATGTGACAACTCTCTATCCGTTCAGCTGGATGTGAAAGTTTCTAATGATTATTTTTAATCTTGCATCCACATTAGTTTTTTTTTTTCTTTTAATATTATTTTTCTTGCAATCTCCTTGCAGCATTAAGTCTGCAAATGACCACCGGTGCACCAAAGGGAGAGAACTGCCTTGTGGACATGGATAGCAAGGCTGGTGATCTGTTTGGTGCTGAGGATGCTCATCCAACTGGCACAGGGGGCACTGGGGTGCTAGCAAAGTAAGATCCTTTCACTTTATATATTTTGTTTAATGTTAACAACAGAATAACTAGCTCTGCCAAGGAGATTATGTTTTTGTTTGTCTGTCTGTGTACAGGAAAAGTTGAAAAGTTAGTGACAGATGAAGCATTACATTTTGGTGATGATCCAGATCATAATCTTGATGCAGGAGTTTTTAAAAATAATCTCTAACTTTGAGAGATGGGTATATTTAACAGAAATAAGCAGTTCCCCACTTAACCAGAGATAGCTAGCAGTCACTATTGACAGCCTCAGCATTGGACTCAAAAAGTGGGGAAGTATTTTACTGAAGATAAAAACAGAAGAAAATGGGAATCTTGGTGAATTGTTAGCAGGTTCAATTGAAAACTTATAAATGTATTTTATGGTCACTTTTTTTTTTTTTTTTTACCAGAGGTGTGCCTCGTTCCAAGGAACAATTTATTTAAATTTCGTAATGATCCAGATCCTGTGCGAGTTTTAGCTATAGGCGTAAGTCACTATTTAAAGCAAAATATGCTGCTTGGCAGAGATCTGTGCTCTCAGAGTGCTTTTTTAGTTTGATATTATTTCATAAATGATGATGTTTCATAGCATTTTTCGTACTTTTTTACATGTTAATATGCGGCTGTCTCTGCTTTACAGGCTGTGGCTTCCCAAAGGCCTCTCGGTCAGCGGGGCTAAAGAGTGGTTGGACCGGCGCAGAGTGTCCATTCGACCATGGGCCAGTTTTGTGGACCAACGCAAGTTCTCAAAACCTCGGAACTTTGGCGAGCTGTGCCAGAGGGTGGTGAAGAATGTGGAAGTGTACAACAGCAACTACACCTTTATCTTCCTGGGTCTTATTCTCTACTGCATGTAAGGCCTTTAATGATTTTGATTCCTGTTGCTGTGAACTATAGAACAACCACCACTGTTAGTATTTAGTTTCAGAAGTCTCTTGGAAATAAAACAAGTTAAATGTTATGAAATATGAATGAATGCATTGAAAACTGAGAGTAAGGGGTCTGTTTCTGCTCTTCAGTATCAGCTCGCCTATGCTGCTGATTGCCTTGGCTGTGTTTGCTGGTGCCTTCTACATAATCCACCTCAAATCTCTGGAGTCCAAACTGGTTCTTCTTGGTGAGTAATGTCATGAAAGAAAAAGCTCTGTTCCATGTGAATGTTCTGTGCTTTAACTGCCTTATTTGAAGCTTATAATCAAGCGTATTACCTCTGCTATGAGAAGTACAAACCTACCTGCTTTTGTTACCTTTGTGCTTTCTGGTTAACCAGGCAAAGAGCTGACCGTTCCCCACCAGATGAGTTTAGCTGGAGCCATCTCCCTGCCTGTGTTCTGGTTGGCTGGAGCTGGTACCGCTGTGTTTTGGGTTCTTGGTAAGTCTGTGGTTGCATGTGTTTCTGCACTGGGTGTGCAGGAGTTTTACCTCTAATTTCAAATAATCCTCAGTTACTCTTAGTTAGCGACATAAAAACAAATAGAACTGATGTAGGTTTGTCACATTGATAATAATGGAGGTCACAACGCAATGCTTATGCTGTCTGATCCCAGTTTCTGAACAGTTAAGTTTGATAGGCACCAGTTTTCGTATACATACTACGGTTCTGTTTATTTGTAGATTCTGTGGTTTTGCCCCATAAATGAATCACAATGATGAGGAGAAGAAGCATATGGTTTAAAAAAGATAGTTTTCTTAGGTGCATTACATGAAGGATTCCTGAACCCCTAAAGGATACAAATGAAACCTTAAACTTAACATCTCACACAAGTAGCGTTTCTTAAAATGTTGTGCTACATTCACATCGGACACGATTTGAGCAGCAGGCGCAGCCGCCTTGCATGCAAAGTCTATGTTTGCATCAAAAGTTCCTGCAGTGCGTCTAAAGCAGCGCCTCTTTAGCTTATGAGCATCTGAGGTGCGTATCGCGCTTCACAAGCAACAGATGCTGGAGTAGGAGAAATTGAACTTTTGCTACTCAATGTGCCACATCAACCAATCAGAGAAGCCAATCTGGGAGCTGGCAGGGAGACGGACACAGCACTGCTGATACAGAGCGTTATGATCACTACCCTGAAACAGCCTATGTTAACTTAAAATGTAGAAACCTGCCGCCAAAATATTTTCACTTCTTTTTATCTGGTACCTGTAGTTTGTAACATACCTGAAAAACTCTTAACATCTACTTCCAGTTGCCACGAACAGTAGTGGAAAACCCCCAAGAAGCGACCGGGTCAGGCTGCTGGATTCTCAGTGACCGCTCACCGCCAGTATGTGGGGGTCTGAGCGGCTCCGACAGGGAA